ACTTGCCTGTGCATCTGCAGAGGAGTCATAATTTGGACTGAAATTGTACAAGAAGCACTGATGGTATTTACAGTGCACGAATGGACTTTTGCACTTTTTTACATGATCTGCACAATTTTATATCTGTATGTTTTGATATTGCACATTAATTTGTGGAGTTTGCACAAAATGGATGTTACATAGTTTAGATTTTAGATTTTTTTTTTTGTGGAGATTGCACATACTGTATATATATACACACACACATACAATCATCACTTGATTAGGTACACCTAAGTTGGACTCCCTTTCGCCTGAGCTGGGGAACCAGAAGGTTACTGGCAGAGGAGATATACACTATATTGCCAAAAGTATTGGGCCGCCTGTCTTTACACACAGATTATCTTTAATGGCATCCCAGTCTTAGTCCATAGGGTTCAGTATTGAGTTGGCCCACCCTTTGCAGCTATAACAGCATCAACTCTTCTGGAAAGGCTGTCCACAAGGTTTAGGAGTGTGTCTATGGAAATGTTTGACCATTCTTCCAGAAGCGCATTTGTGAGGTGAGGCACTGATGTTGGACGAGGAGGCCTGGCTCACAGTCTCCACTCTATTTCATTCCAAAGGTGTTCTATAGGGTTGAGGTCAGGACTCTGTGCAGGCCAGTCAAGTTCTTCCACCCCAAACTCATCCATGTCTTTATGGACCTTGCTTGGTGCACTGATGTACAGTCATGTTGGAAACAGGAAGGGGCCATCCCCAAACTGTTCCCACAAAGTTGGGAGCATGAATTTGTCCAAAATGTCTTGGCATGCTGACTCCTTAAGAGTTCCCTTCACTGGAACTAAGGGGCCAAGCCCAACCCCTGAAAAACAACCCAACACCTTTACACTTTACACTTGGCACAATGCTGTCAGGCAATTCCCGTTCTCCTGGCAACCACCAAACCCAGACATGGTCGACGCTGCATTGCACTTGGTGATGTAAAGCGTGGATGCAGCTGCTCAGCCATGGAAGCTCATTCCATGAAGCTCTCTACACACTGTTCTTGTGCTAATCTGAAGGCCACACGAAGTTTGGAGGTCTTTAGCTATTGACTCTACAGTCGGTGACTTCTGCACACTGTGGACATGCACTATCATTTTATGTGGCCTAGCACTTCGTGGCTGAGTTGCTGTTGTTTCCAGTTGTTTCCACTTTGTCATAACACCACTAACAGTTGACCGTGGAATATTTAGTAGCAAGGAAATTTATTGGATGGATTTATTGCACAGGTGGCAACCTATCACAGTACCATGCTTGAATCCACTGAGCTCCTGAAGGCGACCCATTCTTTCACAAATGTTTGTAGAAGCAGTCTGCATGCCTATGTGCTTGACTTTATACACCTGTGGCCATGGAGGTGATTGGAACACCTGAATCCAATGATTTGGAGAGGTGTCCCAATACTTTTGGCAATATAGTGTGTGTGTGTGTGTATATATATATATATATATATATATATATATACTGTATATATATATATATATATATATATATTTTTGGTAGGCTAACCCAAATATACACAGAGGTTTTTAATGCTGACACGTAAAAACAATAATCTGACAAGGTAATGTGAAATGTCCTACAGGAAATTTCTCCTGATTAAAGGGCAAACTCTCATTAACAATGATGTTAGAAGTGTCACAAAAACTAAATAGATGCATTTTAACAGAATTGAATGGAAGGAAAAGCAGGAAAAACAATGGATCTGGGTGTGCTTGACATTGGTTGAGAGTTCCTGTATACATGGCCAAATAAAGAATTTCAGTTTTACTGCTGCTGTCTAACTTACATTACAATGATCTATTTGCAGCTTTTAGTTGGTGTTGTGACTTTGTACTTGAACAGTTGCCATTAATTACCTTTGTTGTACTGGGAAGGAAGGGTAGCCTGGTAAGGAAGTCTGGAGCCATTTTCTGGAACACTAGCTAGGAAACAAACATTACCAGGTAATACTACATATAGTATTGTTGGGATATAACATGGTGACAAAGTACGCTTGTTATGTTCCTGGCATTTTGTAACAGAATTTCTCATTTAATTGCTTTACATGTGACAAAATGATACATTCCTTAACTATTTGCCCCCAGGAAGGTTATACCCCCTTCATGACCTGGCTATTTTTTGCTTTTCAAAATGCTAGAACAGTACAAATACCCACCAAATGACCTTTTTGGAAAGTAAGCAGTCTGAGGTATTTAGTAAGAGGCACGGCGAGTTTTGTTGAAGTTGTAATTTTTGTCATAATTTTTCGAAAAATGAAGAAATGAAATAAAACATTTTTTTCACAACTTTTTTTTTTACATACTGTCACCAGTGCAGTACAGTGTCGTCATATGATTGGTGTGGCTGTGATCAGGGATACTGACTGGTGACAGTATGTTAAAAAAAAATACTAATATTTTTTTATTCAATTTTTAAAACTTTTTTTTTTTTTTTCTTTTGTTACAATTTTTTTTACAACCTGTCATCAGAGTAGTTCAGTGTCCTCACATGTGATTGGCCCACTGTACCATGTGATAACTGTGGGACAATCACAGCATCACGATACTAAGCAGAACTGTAATGCATGAAACCCATTGATAACAGTTGTATTGACACTGAGATCATGTGACATCCCAGCCGCTCAAAGCAGCCAGTTACCTTGATCCATAATCCAAGAACACAGGGGTCATGGGAACCCCAGGGGGTGCACCAGTGCACATCTGCTAAGGGATGTACAGGTACATTGCTTAGCCTGCCTGTGCCGCGCACCCACAATATACAGTATGTACTATGGGAGGGTGGGAAGTGGTTAAAAAATAATTCAGTGAGATACAATTTTTATGTTTGCTTGTCTTTTTTATATTTTTTTTATAACATTAGCCCTCTTTTGGGGGGAGGTTATTAGAAATGGTCCTCCCCAAATCAGATATTGCGCTAACCCTGTAGTTAAATAAGAGAACCGGACCCTTCACTAAATGTAAATGGGTTTGATAATAAAGTTGGCAGTGCCTCCACCCAGGACAGGGCCTCTGTGAGCAGAGGAGATTTCCTTCCTGAAAAAATGAACCAGTAACGTAATCAAAGTAATTGGAAACTCCCTCCTGCTGAGTGCTGCCATATCAATGGCTGCCATGGTGGCGCTCATGCGGACTCACTCTAGAGCTCTGTGTGCCCAAAGAACAAAGCGTGCGGCTCAGCCTTGCCCCCTGCTCCCTGCTGTGATCGACAGCAACAGGAGCCAATGGCTCCCACTGCTGCCTCCATGTCCGTTGAGAACAGAGAGAGCTGAGAGAGCCATTGCTCTCTGGCACATTGCTAGATCGAGATGGGGCTCAGTTAATTATAAGGGGAGGGGGCTGCGCACAGAAGGTTTTTTACCTTAATGCAGAGAATGCATTAAGATGAAAAAAACGTTTTCCTTTACATCCATGTTAAAGTTAACAATAAACCTCTTGTTTTCTCCCTTTTGCTCTGCTAAACATACCATTGTACGTTTCCTGGTATGTCTGTTTGTTAAGTGCATACTAATAACTACTTGTACACTCTGCCTCTGCTTTGCTGTCATCCGCTGGCATTGGTTCCAATTCTCCCTGTGGACTACAGTCCACCTTATATCATAGAGAAGAAAAGTAGTGAAGCACTTCCTAAAATACCATGCTGCTTCTCTAGAGATAGTACATTGAGTAAATGTTGTCACCCTAGGGTAGCAAAGTGTGTTACTGGCAGGATTACCTGGTAAATATAAAGAAAAAAGCCTGAACAAATAGAAAAACAAATGCACCAACTAAATGAAAAAAAAATATACACACTCGCTGGCCACTTTATTAGGTACAACGTGCTAGTCCTGGTTTAGACCTCCTTTTGCCTTCAGAACTGCCTTAATTCTTTGTGGCATAGATTCAAGAAGGTGTTGGAAACATTCATCAGATTTTGCATTGACATGAGTTACTGTTGCCTTTCTATCATCTCAAACCAGTCTGCCCATTCTCCTCTGACCAATGACATCAAAAAGACATTTTCATCCACACAACTGCCGCTCACTGGATATTTTCTCTTTTTCGAACCATTCTATATAAACCCTAGAGATGGTTGTGCGTGAAAATCCCAGGAGATCAGCAGTTTTTTAAATACTACCAGCCCCATCTGGCACCAACAACCATGCCATGTTCAGAGTCACTTAAATCACCTTTCTTCCATATTCTGATGCTCGGTTTGAACTTCAGCAAGTTGTCTTCACATGTCTAGATGCCTAAATGCATTAACTTGCTGCCATATGATTGGCTGATTGGCAATTTGTGTTACCAAGCAATTGAACAGGTGTACATAATGTGTACATAATAAAGTGGCCGGTGAGTGTAAATGTGTGTGTGTGTATGTATATATATATATACTTTTTTGTTCTTGGATTCAGATACATTTTATACATTTTAATGGCGGACCATGTTTACACAACTCCTATGTAGTAACAGTTACAACCTATTTTGAAGAGCCATTCTGTTCTTAATTCACTCCTGTGTTTTAGGTAATTGCATTTCTGCATCATTCTGCTTCTATAAAATTTCAGGTGACAGACCATTATCCTGACATTCTCTTGCAGAATTTCTTGATACTGTTTTGAACCTATTGTTCCTTTTTTAGCCACATCCCTGCCGCCCTGTAGGAGATATACTGCTACAGGGCAGCAGGGGTGTGCAAAATCACGTATATAGATGTGATTTTGTGTTTCCAAGTAGGGGACATGTGTGATTCCCCGCCAGCGCCCGGTAATTATTGAGGATCTTTGACGGGGAGGAGGGCTGTTTTGTTTACTAACAGTCCTCTTCCCTGTTGGCTCGGGCACACTGCTCTGGATGGCTGTGCACAGTAGAGTGAAGCACCAACACACCGCTACCTAGTAAAACACTCCCAGCACACAGTTAACCCTTTGATCGCCCCACATGTTAAACCCTTCCTGCCCAGTGCCATTAGTACAGTGTAAGTGCTTTTTTTTTTACTCTGATCACTGTATTGGTGTCACTGGGGATGTCAGTGACACCAAGTCAGTTCCCCCCCAGTGTCAGAATGTCTGCCATATTCCTGCAGTCCCGCTATAAGTCACTAATCGCTGCCATTACTAGTAAAATATAATAAAAAATTCCAGTATATATATATACCGCCATAAGTATAACTTTCACGTAAACCAATTAATTTACATGTACTGGGATTTTTTTTTTTAGCAAAGACAGGCAGCAGAATACATTTTGGCCTAAATTTATGACGAAATTTGATTTTTTTTTATATTTTTACTGGACATGTTTAATAGCAAAAAGTAAAAAAATATTGGGGGTTTTTTTTTCAAAATAGTTTTTTTTTTTGTTTATAGCGCAAAAAATAAAAAACGCACAGGTGATCAAATACCACCAAAAGAAATCTGTATTTGTGGGGAAAAAAGGACATAAATTTAATCTGGGTGCAGCGTTGCATGACCGCGCGATTGTCAGTTAAAGTAACGCAGCGCCGTATCACAAAAAATGACCTGGTCAGGAAGGGGGGTGTAAATCCTCTGGAGAGCAAGTGGTTAAATTAGTTTGATTAATTAAGATATAGCAATATAAATGGTTGTTAAATAAGTTGTTATTATTAATATTATTATAGAATTATGGCTCAGATAAAGCTCAGGTCACATTTTGGGAGGCAGTCATGCAGAAATCTAGGTCATTCTGAACGTTACTTGTAACTATAGTTTTGTGTTTCCTGGAATCATAAGAACCCTCGGTATGTACCAGTGACATAAGCAGAGCTGGAGATGACGGATAATGTAAAGCTATAGCTCCGTATATTGCTGCGAGCACTGTCCTATAGTTAAATATTTTCCTGGCGATGCGTCTGGTTTGATTTGATATACCTCAGTAACATGCTCCGTAGAGGAACATTAAGGAATAAATGATGTGATTAGCAGTGTACTTTACAGCAGGCTGTAACCCGAGTGCCTGCTCCACTGTGCGCACATCTTGTTATGACATGCGAGATGTGGATTTTCCATGCGGATGGCTTAGAATGTCTTCATTCTGACCTTCTCAGAATTGCACAACCGTTATAAAACATGGCATATGAAACATTTTACCCGCTAAGCATTTAGACAGATGACCTTTCCATAAAGAATGTACAAAGCTTTGATTATATATTCATATCATGCTAAATCTTAGTAGTTCTTTATAATTTAATGTTTTCTTTTGTTATGCATTTATCATTACATTTACATGTTTTTTTGTGTTCAAGAAAACAGGGAAGGAACTGAATGCTTGACTCGTCTCTGGCGTGACGTGTAATTTGGTTCATTTAAAAACTGAAATCGCCTGCTTTCAGTTTGTCAGTTGAAAAGCACACATTGCTGCAGCCACTTTAAAACTTTAATTTTTGTCTGTCTTATCCAATTACTCACACAAAATAGAGTTTACTTATAAAAACCAGAGCAAGGAAAAGTGTCTGAGTTGCCATAGCAACCAATCAGCTGTTGACCTCCATTTCTAAAGATGCAATAGACAAGAAAAGTTGATCATGAGCCAAGTCAGGGACAATGGGGGGATATCAAATGTCTTTTTTTTCCAGTCCTGGTTTGACTTTTGCTGTGATTTGAAGAATGGTACTTGGTAGGAGGACATCCTCAAAAGACAAGGACATAGTCAACGTTCTCAGTAGACATGTGCATGCCAGAAATTTTCATTTCGTTTCAGGCACATTCGTTCATTGAAGAATTTTGTTTTGTCATATTCATTATGTTGAACTGATTCATTTTCAGGATTGGTTTCGTATCTTTGGCATTTGTTTCGTATATTTGTTAGTCTGGTTGGATTCGAAAAATGCTGTTTTTCTAGAAGATTTCCATATATATTTCTTTTGAATTTTTTGTTGCTATTCTGTCTCTCAGAGTTACAATACACCTACCATTTGATTTTTAGACTGATCATTTGTGAGTGGGCAAACATTCAAAATCAGCAGGGGATCAAATACTTATTTTCTTCACTGTATATTATCAAAATGGACAGATTTGAATTGGAAGGATTCAATATTTTGGCCGCTAGTCCAACCCACCAAGAAAAATGGCATGAGCTGATTAGACAATATCAACTGGCGTCATATGCATCCAAATTAATGAATGGAAAAAAATTCAGATCCATTCGTTATTCCAATCCAAGTTATCGAGTGAATTTGAAAATTGAATCAATTTCCTCATGGGCCAGAACTACTATCGCATCATGTGATGTCATCCAAATGGAACAAATGCATTTGTTTATTATTATACAGTATTTATATAGTGCTAAAAGGTTTGCTCAGCGCTGTACATTATAGTGGGGGACAGTACATGAGACAATACAGTAACAAAACAATACATGAGGGGTTCGAGGGCCCTGCTCTTTCGAGCTTACAATCTAGGAGGTTTCATTATAACTTTTTTTCAGATTCATTTACATTACTCTTACTATGTCCGTTCAGAGATTTGTATACATCCAAATCTCCGAAAACTTTCATCTGAAAGATGAATTGAAACAGGATGCACATGTCTAGTTCTGAGTTAATTCACAGATGCAGTCAGACTATAGTAGGAAAGTATCTTAAACAAACATATCAGGCATTTCACTCAGAGGGCTTTCTTATTACAGGACATGGCCAACATTCTTAGATACTTTCTAAATACACCGGACCATATAATCAGTTATTTCACAGATTTCTCTATAAGGGCTCATGTACACAGGATGTTTGGAGAACACTTCTGAACATTGGAAATTGACAGCAGGAAAACGCAGGTTAAAAAATGTTCGTTTTGACACATTTGCATACCGCGTTTAGCCACGTTTGCGTTCAGAAGCGTTTTTTTAAAGATAAGCACAGGAGAACCTCCCAAATGCCCAGAATGCACTGAAAAGTGGTAAATTATTAACTATTTCAGACTGTTTCAGAGAAATACACACAGTAGAAGTACACACAGCAGTATGTGTTGAGATAATTAGGTGTGAGTTGCTCCTTAACATTTATCTTGTTTTCAAGGGTGGGAAGGTGTCTGCTTGAGGGAGTCATTAAGGTCACCTGGCAGGGGGTCTTCATGAGAAATTTGAGGTGTGAATGGCATTAACGTATCTTTTGTTTCCAAGGGTGGGAGAGGTCTGTGGTCATTACAATGTGTGACAAGCTTGGTAGGAACATCCTGTTAAGTGTTTTGTCCATCTGAGCACCTTGAAAACTCTTTGCATGCATTTTTCATAATGAAAAAGGCTCTGGACAGCATTGGGAACTGGAAGAGTTAAAAAAAATTCAAATGCTTATAAACGCGACTTTCTGCGTTTAGCCACGTTTTGAGTTTGAAATGCTGCTAGAATCGATGTCTGAACGCAACTTTGTTGCGTTAAAAAAAACGACTGTAAACTCAACTGCTTTTAAACGACTGTAAACAAAGATGTGTACATGGACACATAGGAAAACCTTAGGGTGAGTTCAGACCCCGAGGAAGTCACGAGACCACGTGACATAACGCGTAGGCATGCTAAGACGTAACTTCCGGTATCCGAAGTGTCGCACTTCCGGTGCGGGATGCCATTTTCCTGGTTATCAGGAAGCTCAAATACATGTGTGCAGTTTGCCCATATAGGGACAGAAGAATCGCTGTACAAACACATGTAAGTTACCTTTTGTTACTACTACAATTAAACCCTGGTTATTGGAAATACTACACTATGGAGGATCTCTGTTTTTTGACTCACTATTTGTGAGAGAGAGTTTGCAGAGAACCGCTGGTGAGGATCCTATGAGGCACAGCAGTGGAGGTGTGGAGGAGACCAAATAGGAAGAATATCTGAGAGGTACCAAACCAGGATTCTTGAGGATCCAAAGTGATCCTAAAGGCTTGTGGGCCCTTAGGGGTCACTGAAAGGAGGTGAGCGGGCATTGCAGCTGAAGTGGATAGAGTGTGGTTTATTCACGAGTGGCACTTGATATATAAAGACACATTGCATGTATTTAAATATCACTTGGAATAGATTTGTTTGGATTTGGACATTGGACGTTGTATGAAGTTGAAGTGGCACCATCACATGATATTGATTTATATTGTTTTGAAGCGGCACTATCACATTATTTATATGTTTATTTCATTTAATGCAATAGGAGTTTGTATTGATTTTGGGGATTTTGGAATATATATATATATGTAGTAAGTGATATTTAAGAACACTGAGAAGATTATAGTATTTATCACAAAGTGACAATATAAGTGATTATAATAGTTTGTGCATTTTTAGCGCTACACTAATTTAAATTTAAGATTTATCATTGAGCACTGTTTTAGGTATCAGTTTGAGTGTCAGTGGCTTTAAAGTAGGAGGGGATTCCATAGAAGCGCAGGAGGATTTCTAATATGAGTTCAGGGGCTGCTGAAAAAAATGCTGACCAGCTGCTAAATGTGAGTTTACCAGCTACAGTGTACATGAGCCCTAATAGTTTGGAAGCAAAGAAAGCCACAACTATGACTGTTCTGAATAAAGCTTCTGTGACATCCTGCATACCTGCCTCAGTTCTTTGTGAAAACTGGTGCATGTGACAAGCTCTTCATGCTATGATTGTCCTTGAGCCAAAGACTTTAAGTGCCTTAGATATGGGAAGGTGATTGGATGGTAGAAAATTATAAGACTGCCAGAATAGATCCTCCTTACCCCTGAGAACACTTAAAAACAATGCTCCCATTATGCAGGTGTGCAAGCACTCTAACGTGGCCCAGTGCTGATCTCTCCACTCAAAGGGAACAATGCAATATTTCCAGCTGTGCAAGTCTATGCTTCCTGTGCTGAAGTGTTAGCCATGTATGGTGAGCCTATAATTGTCCATAACTGCTAATATTCTAAACCACTTGAGTACCAGCCTGTAATACCCTTTCATTAGCAGGCCATTTTTCAGTTTGTGATACCTTAAATGACAATTACCCTGTCATGCAACACTACTCAAATTAATTCTTGAATAATTTTTTCTAGCTTTATTTTGTTAGTCTTGAATAACCACTGGGTTCTCTTTGCAATATAAAAAAGAGCAAACATTTGGGAAAAAGACCTGTTTCCCTTTCTACCTGCTAAGATA